GATTTCATTCTTGCAGTTGAGCTTTAGTTTTTAACCAATGGGTAGTAGTTAATTTGTTATTCTTCGGTTCGATTGCATAATAAAAGTTTTTAACTTCTGTCTAACCATTCGGAATTATCACATTTTTAAACTAGATTAAACTTGGAATATATGACTATAATATAGTATTACAAGAACCACGATTATTTTGAAATGTTTATATTCATTTTTTTTTTAGAAAATTTATATTCATTTTATTTTTTGTTAAAGCAATGTTACGTATTAATTAGTACTCATTATTATCATTGTCTCATAATTTGGATTAATTTAAAATTATGTGCGTAAATTACAAACGATATAAATTTGTAAAATGAAAATATAATTGTTTTACTGTTTTTAACGTAAACCCAACCTTTTGAATGCATGTAGCTTTAATTACAAACGTGTACAATATAGTATTAGGTTAAGAATGATAATAATACGGCTCACAAACAATTGATGAGTTTGTAGAAAAAAATAAAATAAAGAAAAGATGAATTTACAGTTGTGCCCCTTTGACTGATGTCGTCACACTTCGCTTCTGCCTTTTGTACGATTCTTGAAGACTTTCAGGAGAAAGCTGTAATGAAAAAAAAAGAAGAGACTATCAATTTCATATTTGGGGTACTTGTCATATTAATAATAGTTTAATAATATTTGGAGTATTAAACTATTCGAACGAAATGATAGTATTATTAAACATGATTTTAGATTATTATTATTGAAAAAGCAATTGCTAATTAGAATATAACATCGACTGGCGTTAAATATGACCCATAGGTGACAATTTACTATATTCAGTATCTAGTCAAGTGAAGTGGGTCCCATAATATGGGTCTTCAAGTTGTCAAAACTTTAATGGTTTTTTAATACTAAAATATATCTTTCCGGCATTTTAAGCAAACAGTGACAAGTATACAGCTAGTTTTGTAAATTCACGTTCTTCTGTAAAATAGTTAAAAATTTATCTTTGTAATTTTTTTTTATTATTGGAGTTCGATTTTATCTCCTCGTATAAAATTGAGAGAGTGATCCAATGAATCAGAAAAACATTTAAATCTTGTTAGTAGTTTTTATTTAATTAATTTTTTTTTTTCATAAATCAAAATTCATTATAGACTATACAAATTTTAGTCTAGACATTGAAATTTTATGTTTTTAAAATTTTCATATATTAGTTCATATAATAACATAAATCTAAATATAAAGTTCGTCGAATTTTTTTTTTTTTTAAAAAAGAAGTTCGTTGAACATAATTACTGTTAAATAATATTGATATTATATACTAGATTTGTTATTTTTAATATAATTGAAAATAGAAAAAATGATTCTAAAATTTAGAGCATTAGAATCATTCTGATAAATTTAATGATTTTAGCTGTATTTTAAAAAGTTTTTTTTCTTACCAACAAATTCATTAAAACGATTTAGAAATCCAAACCAAAGAATAGAGTTTACATATAAAATATTATTCTAAGAAATACTAGCGCTTCGAACTAAATTATCAGTTTTGGTGTTGCTGCTCCAGACATTTTAAAAAGTTATATTAATGAATTCTTTGTATGTGTTGTATTTTTC